AAGTATACGCTGATGACTATATGTTTGCGGTCCTGGTATCCATGGATGTTTTCGAAAGCTACCTCGAAGGTTCGTGAAGGATTGTGCTGAATAATTGTGCTCCAGCAGGCTTGGTTTTCCACCTCAAGGTGAAAAAGACAGAGATCGTGCGTCACGAGCACGGACCTGGTTCTGCGACATGTCAGCGTCATGTGTTTCGCGCGCTTGAGGCGCGCTTACCTGCGCGCATGCTCATGCGTGGTGGCACGCACGTACATGGTGTTCGCAGGTCTGTGCATCTTGGGGCAGTACTCACGGACAGGGCACTCCTAGACCTTGAGCTTGTACACAGAGAGGCGGAGGCGCGAGTTTGGTTGACGCCGTTGGACAAAGCTTTAAGGCGTGCATATAGTAACACATTCCTGCCCAAGCTTGTGATCACGGATTCGCGCGTGCTCAACTCGGCCCAACATGGTTCAGGTACGTGGTGCGATTTATTTGGAAATGAGGTTGTTACGTTGAGGGCGTGTTATGCTAAACGTTACAGGAATGCATTACGTCTACCTAGATTTGAAGCTCACGGACGTACGAATGATGACGTTCTGGCTCTGGCAGCGCGGCCTACTATCACTACATTACTTCGGGCGAACCGGTTGCGTTTGTTTGGGCAGGTGTTGCATGCGGCCCCAGGTCCTCTACTTGCCCTGCTACACTCTGAATGCAAACAGGCGGAGGGTACTAACAGAAAGTCCCGGTACATCATGTTCAAGAGGAGTTGCTTGGGCTGCGCTCCGGCCACCATACTTTAGGAACCTTCCCTACACCAGCCTCCGGCTCACAGAAGTGGGTCAACAAGGTGAAGCTATCGTCCCAGGATTGGAAGCGCATCCTTGCGGAGGCGCTCAAATCGTGCGTTGAGAAGGCTCGAAGAGATCTGGATGGAGCTCGATGGCAGCAAAGGCTTCTGCAGGGCATGCAAAGAAAAGGTCTTCCGCCTGCGCTGGATGTTAAGGACGACCCACAGGTGCCGGAAATGAGATGCCCTTTTTGCGAGTTTCAGGCTTCGGCTGTGGCTTCTCTTGATGCGCACGTGCACTCTCTACGCGTCACTGTCACAGGGCTGGCTCGTCGGCATGTGTCTGGACCGACATGCGCCGCTTGCCGCCGCTCCTTCTCGTCGAGATCCCTCCTCCTCCGCCATATCACTTCGTGGAGGCCATCCTGTTTGGTTGTTTATTTGATGCGCGTGCCTGCGCTGCCAGTAGACGAGCAAAAACGGTTGGCACTTTAGGAACACCAGGCCAATCAGCAGGCACGGCGCAAGGGATACTCTACCTCACATGCTGAGGTACTGTCGCGAGTGATTCCTAGCCCCATTGATCCTGCAGCGCGGATGGTGCAGGATATGCACACACGCGAGCAGGCGCAGTTATATACAGAACACTCTCCAACATGTAACAGGTTGGTCTAGGCAGTGGCTTCGGCAGTTTGAGGGAGGCCAGGCAGCCCCAGGATCGGGTCGAGGCTTGTTTCTGGACTGGCCCTTTGAGCGCGAGGCCTATGCCCGAACCCGTGCCGACCCCACCCCTCGCAGAATGAAGCGCAAGACTGTTTTCATTGCTAATATATTATGTGGCCAACGGCGCCAGAGCGATGTCCAGGCAGCTGTTGAGATAATACTTGAAACTATTGTACCTAATGTTGAGTTGCGTGCTTTGTCAATCGATATCCTTACCGATCAGGGCGCAGGAGACCTCAGCAAGCCAGTAACTGTAAGCATTCGGAATGAGCACATCAGGGCAGGCCGCGCGGCAGCCGTGGGAGGGGGGGGGGCATGCGAAAACTTGTTCGGCAGCGCGGTGGAAGGATGCCCCCCCCCCCCCTCCCTTGCGTGTTTGGGCAGCACCTTGGGGGATAAAGGCTCTTACTCCTAGGCAGCGTTTGCAAGTGCAGATTGCAAATGTCCTTTTCAGGTCGCATATCGAATTGCTTGCTGTTTGTGCTGAGGTAGGAAGTTGTGGATGGGGAGAGCATCCTGCTTCCCCCACCTGGGAACCTCGCGCAATTCCCCCGTGGAGCTTTCAACCCGTGAAAGCCCTTGCTAGTGCCCCGTGTGCGTCATATACAAAGTTTGATCAGTGTGAATTCGGTCAGGAAGCAGGTAGAGCACCCACAGGGATCCTTGCTGTGCGTCTAGACACGCTGCACGACATGTTGCGAGACTCTCCTGGAGGAGGCAAGTGTAGCCACGGGCCCAGAGCTCGTAAGACGCTGCTTGGTTGAGACCCTGTCAATAATCGCTTCCGAACTGCTCCTAAGAAAGTTTACACAGAAGCAACGCGCAGTCCTAGGTCAGGCGCTCCTGGATGCCGTCCTTCCATCAGTGGAATGTTGCGTGCAAGATGCCGACCAGGCCGAGACTGGGGAGTCGTTTCGTTACTTCGTAGGCTCCATTTCCGTTTCTCCATATGCTCCTAAGATGGGTCCAGCTTTCGCTCTAGGTAAGTCGACCAAGAGCGTGGAGTCAGCGATCTCTCGCATCAGGAAGGCTCTAGATCCAAGATTCACAGACATCGAGAATTATCGTTCGATTGCCATCGTGCCAGCTGTCGAGGCGCACCCTGTGCCTCCTACTCAAAGGAAGATGCTGTTGTGTCGCCCTCCTTTGTACCTCCTCCTCCCCCTCCTCCTCTTTCGCAATCGGTGCTTAACAGAATCGCGGCAAACCGTGCTGAAACATTGAGACGAAGAAGAGCTCGAGAAGGCGAGGCTAGACGCACTTCTATTACGGCTCTTCACCTTTTCGGTGGAGGATAGCATACAACATCCAGTCTAGAGAGATACTATGTCCAGGCAGACTTGCATAGGTGGTGCATGGCGGCGACACACATAACCATGGTTCCCTTTCCGGTTGCCCCATTGTGTCCAAGCCCGTTCTCAGTGAGTACTCATGGCGGGGGAGGCAGGTGGGGGATTATATATGGTGGGTGTGATCGCGTACTACGCAACGTCCATATACGTTCGGTTGGTCTTGTTGTGTAGCACTAGTGTGTGTGCTCCGACGAGGGCTGATTGCGTTCGTTAATGTTGCCTTGTTTGTGTAGCACAATGACGTGTGCATGAGGTGCTTGATTCATTGCACGAGGGAGATAGAGGGTGCAATATATTATGTCTTGTTTCGTGCTTGCCTCTCCCTCCCACCGCCCGCATATCGACCCGTGCTACTTCACCAATCAGGCGCGCCTGCGCCACGGTGCGCTCTCAGGGATGGATGTGGAGGATGAGGAGAGGTCAACCATGATAGGTTGGGTGGTTGTTGGATGGGGCTTCAGAGGCCCTCGTTTCAGCCAGCGTTCGTCTTCCACAGATGACATGCTAAATATGATGACCCGCATATGCGGGTATCAAGCCTGCCGTGGCACGATTGCCATGTCACGCCCCCGGCAACAGCTGCTTGACAGCTCTTTCGCGGGATGCCGATCCGATCGGGTCCTCCTTCTCCAACTCCTCCTCCTCCTCCTCCTCCTCCTCCTCCTCCTCCTCTTCCCCCTCTGTATCCTCCTCTTCGTCTTTCTCCTCCTCCTCCCCGAGAATCAGACACTGGACCTGTCATGGGGCTTTTTGAGGTCATGATATCGACGCAGATCCAGCCGTGTTGATGAGAGCGCCCCAGGAGGCCCGAACTGGGCCATCAAATGCTCCAATCACAGATCCGCAAGCCCCCAAGGATCGGGAGGACATCAACTGAACACCTCACCGATCCTTCCAAGGCCGATCCTTCCTGGGCCCAGAATGGGCCTGGAAAAGATCGACGAGGTGTATGATTGATGTCCCCAAAGTGGAGAGCGGAGGGGGAAGAGGAGGATCGATGATCGAGGATCCAAGATCGAGCTTTTGGAATGTGTTTTCTCCTGGGCATGCGAGAGCCTTTGCAGACCTGCAGAACCGCACCCCCGATCCTCTCCTCACCCATCCTCCAATCCTCCCCTTCCCTCAGTTAACAAATACTGAATATAAGAACTACTCTCCTCTCATCCGACTGCGTCCACACACGATTGCAGACATTGGTTTACCATATTGTCGTTTCAATCGGAACGTTGTCCGAGCTTCAACTTGTATTCCCGATGCAACGCGGGCCTCATCTTAGGATCGGCGCTTTGCTCCCATCGTTCAGGATTTCGCTCTCACCCCACAGGCGCGGGACACAGTTCTAGATCCGAGTGCTTCCTCGTCGTTGTCGCCCCCTTCCTATCCTCCCCCCTCACCTGCTGCTCCTCCTCCTGCTCCTGCTGCTCCTGCTGATGCTGTTCCTCATCGTCCTCATCCTTCCTCATCCTCCTTCTCCTCTGCTCATCCTCCTGATCATCCGCCATCTCCTTCTCCAATGTGCACAACTCCCTTTTTCACTCAGATTGCGCATAACACGATGTTTCCTTTGTGGGGGATCCAGGTCCACAATGACACCAGTTGGCGGATAGAGAAACATCAGCGCAGGGGACGGGTGGGAGGGCCAAGTTGTCAGATATGGCGCGAGCGTGTCTGGCTTGCCTATCCTTCTCTTCCCCCCCTCTCCCCACTTCCCTCCCGATCCGCTGAGGTGGCCAGATGACGTCCTCCAGAGCCCATCGCCCCTGGCCCACCCAGACATCCGACGCCGTGCCTTTTTCGCGACGTGGCACCGCAAAGGTTTAGACCCCTTCCCAGAAGGTAAGGAACCCCTCGAAGCAGGAAGCCAGTGCTGAACGACTCGGCGACGGAGCGCGCCAACTTTGAATGGGAACGGGACCCGTCGCTGATCTACGCGCCTGAATACATGTTGACTCCTCCTCGGCAGAGGTCCGGAGTTTCGTCCCGAGCGACTTTCTCTGGCGGCCCCGCGGCCAAGCAAAGGCACCCACGAAGGCTGAGAAGGGTTCTCAACGCCTTCCGCCGTCTTCCTCCCTCTCCACGGCGCGGGGACGTCGCGACCCCTCCGAGCAGCCTCCCGCGTGCGCGGGGCGCGGGCTGGGCGCCCGCCGCGCCTCGACGACCTCGTCCTTGCGCGGCGCGATGGGCGACCCGAGGCGCAGGTCCGCCTCTCCACGGGGCGCGGCCAGGGGCAGGCCTGGAGGTCCACAGGCAGGAGAGGCGCCTGTAACCCGCTGTAGGTTCTCGTGCGGCCCGTATGCCCCCTGATCCTGGGGCGTGCGTTGTGCTCCAGATGGGCGCTGCGGCCTGCCACCCCTCCGCCTCTTCCTCGTCCTCCTCTTCCTCTTCCTCGTCCTCCCCTTGCAGCTCGGCTGATCCTCCTCTACTCCCAGCCACCCTTCCGCCTCGTCCTCCTCCTGTGCCTGCTCCTGCTCCTGCTCCTGCGCCTGCACATGTTCCTCCTCCTCCTCCTCCTCCTCCTCCTCCTCCTCCTCCTCCTCATCATCATCATCATCATCATCATCATCATCATCATCATCATCATCATCATCATCATCATCATCATCATCATCATCATCATCATCATCATCATCATCATCATCATCATCATCATCATCATCATCATCAGCATCAGCATCAGCATCAGCATCAGCATCATCATCATCATCATCATCATCATCATCATCATCATCAACATCATCATCATCATCATCATCAGCATCATCATCATCATCATCAGCATCATCATCATCATCATCATCAGCAGCAGCATCATCATCATCACCATCATCATCATCATCATCAGCATCATCAGCATCATCATCAGCAGCATCAGCATCATCATCATCATCATCAGCATCATCATCATCATCATCATCATCATCATCATCCTTTGATGGGCGGACATCACGGCCACATCTGCTGCGATCCCCGAGAATGTATGGATTCGCCGACTGAGGCGTGTAGTAACACTTTAAGATTGCTGCCTGTGCGGGCGCAAGGACTGCATAATAATTAATGTAATATTCGTTACCCGTGTGGACGCGGGGTAATTAAGTTAAGCAGGCAGTCGGTGGGAAAAGAACATAGAATACAAGATACGTATAAAGCCGTGGGCATAAGAACATGAACGAACGGAAGAAGAGCGCCGTAGAGAAGGAGGCGATATACACGTGCAATTATGACCAGGCAGGAGTAGCTGCCTGGAACGCGTTTCTTTATTTTTGGTGATAATGGGCGTCATACGAGGCGGGAGGGGGTATGATGAAACGCTTTCTCCCCGCCGTGTGCCTCCAGCACCACAGCCGCGCCCACGCGAACGACGACGATGAGCGACGAGCGACGACGACGACGCGAGCAGCATGTAGGTGGCGACCTTCCCACAGCGCCTGTGTACACCACAATGCTTGCGTGCACCGCAGCGCCTGTGCACACCACAGCGCCTGTCTATACCACTGCATCCGCGTGCACGCAGCGCCGGTGTACACCACAGCGCCTGCGTGCTCAGGACAGGTAGAACGAGCATGTAGGTGAGAAGCTGCGGACAGCTAAACGCCACGCCAGAGAAGTGCTGATAAAAGAATGCGACGTTCTTCCCTCCTCCCTCCTCCGCCACCTCCACCTCCACCTCCTCCTCCTCCTCCGCCTCCCTATGCGGATCCCCATTGTATTCCCAATGCGGACCAGGCTCCTATGCGGACTTCTATGCGGGCGCCGATGGAGATCCGGATGCGCACGGCGGCAGTGCCCGGAGCGCACTGGGGGGGGAAAGGAGTTACGTTATTGGGGGGAGGGCCGGGGGCTATAATGCCCGTTATGCCCCAAGCAAAACGAAACACGCTCCTACTTGTTGCTCAGCTATGTTGTCCATTGCATGGGCAAGTAGGCAGATACGGTAAAAAATGGCCGACGTCGCGCGGTAACCCTCCCAGCCCAACATCTGTGAACAACCCCAAATCCCACCACCGCCATCGGCACAGTAAATGAGAAGTAGATGCGCAGGAGGCCATAGCGTGACTGGGCTGGACATCTGAGCTGGGCGAGAGTGCCGCAAGGCGAGCGATGTCGGCGCAGGCAGGCCTAGTAACATATTGAAGTAATAACAAGAAACATAACGGTCAGCTTAACTCGTGGCGTCGAAGTCCTGAGAGTGGTGTTCTGGCACGCTGCAACATGTTCGCACGGGTGTCCTCCAACGGGGCCATTACACCTTGTAGGGGCCTATGGATAGGGATCTTGGAGGAAGGGTTCTTGCAACATCGTTGCTGAATATTCGGTGTGCACTACACTGGTCCTCCTCCCTCTCCTTCTCCTCCTCCTGCCATCCTCTAACATACCATCGCCGCCGTCAGCACCGTGAAAAGAGGGTGACTGGTTGAATGCTTCTCGCAGGCTGGCGCTGCAGTACAGGGTGGCTACATTAAACTATAAACGAAAGCTGAGCACGTGCAGTACATCATATGCTGCCAACTGTCTGTTGCATGCTGGCTCTATCACTGCAGGCTTGCCTGAGTAGCTGTCATTGGCACTCGCGCGCTGCAGTTCCCCAATCAGAGCTTCCCTCTGTAGGGGTCCTAGCGGACTCATATGGTTACGTGAAGTATGGGGCGGCACGCCCGGGTGCCCGGTCGCCCGGGTGCCCGGGTGCCTGGTAGCCCTATAGCCCTATAGCCCCGTAGCCTTATAGCCCTATAGCCCTATAGCCCTACATTCCTATAGCCCTATAGCCCTATAGCCACATAGCCTTTTAGTCATAGTCCAATAGCCCTGTAGCCCTATAACCCTATAGCCTCATAGCCTTATAGCCCTATAGCCCTGTAGCCCTGTAGCCCTGTAGCCCTGTAGCCCTACAGCCCTCTAGGGCTATAGCCCTATAGCCTCATAGCCCTATCACCCTATCGCCCTACAGCCCTATAGTCCCATAGCCTTATAGCCCTATAACCATATAGGTATATAGCCCTATATCCCTATGGCCCTATAGCCCTATAGGCCTATAGGCCTATAGCCCCATAGCCTCATAACCCTATAGCCTTACAGACCTATAGCCCAATCGCCTAATCGCTTATGATTGGGTATTTTTCTCCGGTATCATGTGATATGTTCGGCTGATCTTGTCTGTGCAGGTGCGCCTGCGATAAAGTGCAGCACTGGAGCGCGCGAGTCCTCCATTCCCCCACCACCGACCCAACCTCAGATAACCTCCCGTCGGTTGGTCTATCGGGCTGGTGTAGGGGCAGCCTTGAAAAGACAAAACAGGTTGGCGCAATATGCAGACTTAACCGCATAATGTCTTTAGTTGTGGGTCCCCACTCTGTTTCTCTAGGCGGGGAACAAGCTAGCCCCTCCTCCTTCTCCTCTTCATCCTCCTCCTCCTGCTCCTCTGTCTCTCCCTCCTCGTCCTCATCTTCCTCCTCATCCTGCTCCTCCTCCTCCTGCTCCCACTCGTGGTCGTCATCGTAGTCGTCGTCGTCGTCATCGTCGTCGTCGTCGGCGGCGGCGTCGTCGTCGTCGGCGTCGTCGTCGTCGTCGAGGTAATCGTCGTCGTCGTCGTCCTCGTCGTCGTCGTCGGCGGCGTCGGCGTCGGCGTCGTCGTCATCGTCGTCGTCGTCATCCTTTCCCTCCATTGTTGGGCGGACTGGATAATGTTGGGGATTCCTCCTCCCAGGAAATTATCCATTGTGGCCTACTCTACACGCGAGAAGATGTGTGGGCATCTCCTCATGGGGATTTCAATGCGAATAAGCGGTTGTGGTTGTCGTCGTGATTGTTGTCGTGGTTGAAATCGTGCTTGTAGTCGTGATTGTAGTCGTAATCGTGGTCGTCATTGCAGTCGTAATCGCAATCGTAGTCGTCATCGTCGTCGTCGCGGCGGCACTTGTTTCCCTCTAATGTTGGGCGGGCTGGAAAATTGCGGGAGTTCTCTACCACAGGGACTAATGCCCCTGGGCTACCCTGAAGGATAGAGGAATGTTGAGCACGTGTAGAAGGATGACATTGCAGATCGGCACATTATTCGCCGAAGGCGTTGCTCACAATCTCCTGCTTCATCTCGCCGTCGTCGTCGTCGTTGTTGTGCGGCGGACGCCGCGCAGAAATAACCATTGCCCATTATCGGTGGGACCCAAATCCCTTAATAATGTCACCGGTTGTACAATTCGATGCCACTGCTCGGGGTGGCTTTAAAGACCTATCCCGGCTAAGATTACAGAAGATCGTGGGGCTGGATGCTACACTGTAGGAAATGCACGATGTGTGATTGGCTGATAAAAAATGCTGGCCAGGGTAAACGTTTATCGATGGCTGCGGTAGGATGAATGCGGGAGTGGCGCCGCCACGCAACCACGGGTGACAGGAGAACCTCGGGATACGAGGAATACTCCTGGACAGAGGCCCGTGGGAGGGTTGCTGTTACATCTCGGGTTGCGCACTGGATCCCACGTAGACCGCATCCCACCCATCAACTGATCCCCCAGTCCCCTAGCAAGGCAGGTTGATGCTTCATGCGGGTGCTGAAACAATTATAGAGAATGGTGATATGGACTAGGAATCGGGAGTAAGGCAGGAATGTAGCATGCTCGACCCTTAGGGAACACCACTGGTAACCTCAAATAGGTTGGAAACGAATGCGAGCTTACGGGCGGGATAAAGGCAACGCATTCGAAAGGGCAAGTGAAGGCAGCGGGGAGCCCTAGGACCTCCCCCCGCGTGACCACTGTAGCGTCACGTATTTGACGCAAGTAAATAGCCGGGCTCTGGGATAGATAGACAAGTCTGTTCGTGGTGTCTGCCTCCCCACCCACACCTTCCCGCGCCCTCCAATACAACCATGTGGTCCCACTTTCAAGCTCCTGCTGCTGCATGACACGTAATCGGAGCAGGCGCTCAAAATACACGCACAGCGAGCAAAATAAGTGCACGGGTGCGAAGTGGAGGAATCGGCAGTGGCAAAAGCAACACTCGCTGGTGAGTACCACACACTATGCCACCTCGCATAAGAAAAACGATTGGCAAAAAGATGCGAGAAGGGCCAACATAGGCGTAGGCTATGTTGGTTAACATCGCGCCGTACGTACAGATGGTAAAGTAAAGACTGCAATCTGCTCGGCCTGTGGGGGCACACCTATGACCTCAGGGTACAAAGGGACCTGGCTGTAGACAGCGCGCTAAA